GGGTGTACTATTTTTTGAATTGATGTGAAGGGAGTCATTGCATTTTTTTGCGATGTAGGGGGGGCAGGACATTTTGTTTAGCCTCTAAAGATCTATTAATATTTAACTAATCGTATCTTGTTACTTCACTATATATACTTGTACATATGTAATATCATCATCATTCATTTTCTGATGATGACTATAGTTTAGTCGAAACGTCGAAATAAAATTTTCAAAATGCTTTAAATTTTCGGAGTATCTATTGTTTTGTATTAAATCATAAGGAAAAGACAAAGAAAATCACTACCGTGACGGTGGTTTTATATGTGATAAAAAATCATGTTCATTTGCATAAACTTTAGATTTATTTTATCGGTTAAGAAACAGTTTATTTTTAAAATTACTTCGCCAATGAACACATCTGCAGATGGGTTGTTTTTAAGCCATTTAAAACATTCACATTCTGCCCTGTAACAGATTACACGACGACACGTTGTTTAAGTGACTTACAAAACGACCCACCTTACGAGTTCATTTGTGAATTTTAAAAAGAAACGTTTTGTAAGCCGAGAAAACCGATGTTAAAGTTTATGTAAATTAACATAATTTTTTATCACATAAAAAACACAGCAGTGATTTCCTTTGTCTTTCGCTCATGAATTTTTGATAAGTTTTTTAAAGCATAAAAAGTTCGTTATCGCAAAATAAGAGATCAAAAGACTGAAAATAGAAATTTTCATGTTGCTTATTTAGATTTTGGGATATAGATTCATGTCTCGCTGTTCGTGAGTTAGGGTCAGCGGTTAGGGTCAGTGTCAAGAAAGGGATAGGGCTCTGCATTCGTAAACAGCGAGACATGAATTTATGAACCAGATTTAGTGTTTAATGCACGCAGGCTCGTAAAGTACTCGTGCAGATTAGTGTTTAATCGTTTTTTAACCAATCAGCATCAAGTAAATTGACTTAAATTATATTAAGTTGTAAATTATACAGTTTGAATATGGCAATTTTTATTGAAACAATATCCTAACTTTACATTTGATTCAAGAACAGATGGAGCTTCTGTATGACTGAAGAATTACTGATTGATTATGCCTTGTCTCTACGATTTCATTGTAATGTGTATATGCTGATGAATGATATTTTTTGCATCGTTAGACTTAATAGTGCTGGGAAGTATATGGTTGAAGAAGATGAAATATCAATGGGAAGAGTGAGTGCTATAGCAACTCCACAGTACGCAGAACGAGAAGCGATGAGGGAATACTACCGCTAAAATAGACATAAGTATTCTACTAGAAAAGCTTTCCTGCACATAGTGAGATTGTCAACTAAGGCATTCGCATAAACTCGTTATTACATTAGATGTATGGAAGGAGTATTTAGTTATTTTGTATACAAGCATGCGGTAATCAGCATTACACCAGTAATTAATAACACTTTTGTACGGTGCACATATGACTTTTTTAACACTAACATTTTTTAATATTTTTCAATAATAAAAATCACATGTAGTACCCTGTTATAATTATACAGTTGTAAGTTCATGGGCCGTTACCGAATTTTTTTGTTGATAATGCAATCAGAGCTCTAGCCATCCCCAAGGGCGTGGGGGTGGGTTTAATCCTTCAGAAATTATGTCTATTTTTAGTGTCTGCGAAACGCTCTTTCATGCATTTTAGACACGCTTTATAATAATCTAAAAGCCACAGATTTGGTATATTTATGTCATAGATGAAAACATTAAGAGCTTTTGATGTTATGTACTCAGGTAATATAATATCTTTGATGTTACTCTGAGTATATATCCAATATAGAAATATTAGGCTGCGTCCAGACTGGGTGCCCGGCACTGGTGCCCGTCACTTGCTTTGGCGCCTAGTTTGAACATGATGCTCCAAATGAAATTGGGCACCGTGCGCAAGAAACGGAACTACCTCTAGAAGTAGTACTCAACAACGGCACTGTGCTCAACATGTTTTGTGAACCATTTTGAACATTGGGCACCAGTGCCGGGCACTCAGTCTGAACGCAGCCTTAGACCTAGAATGCGTGCTTGGGCACGTGACCGGTGTCCAAATTGAAAACAAAAATGCCCTTGTAAGCTAAAACTAAGTATTCATCAACGTTTTGTCTTGCTGTCTAATTTGTAGTTTGAGGATAAATCAGTTTTGAAGTGCAAATGTGCAGTTACAAAAACGGTGAAAATCGTTCAGCCTTGTAAAAACAAAGTAGTTTCGCGTAAATATAATCAGGCTGGCCTGTAGGCCAAGTCTGTGGCCAAGTGTCTTAAATCCCTTTTTTTCTATTTTCTGTTTTCTTCCTCGTCGAGAAATCGAGTTGGCGTTAGCTCATCGCAGGCTCAGGGTGCAACGATTAAGCCAAAATGCCATCGATTCCCCGTAACAAGCTCGTATTTATGTACGTAATATCCGGCTCATGCCATGCTTGTGGTACATTTTTTCGTTTATTAGCCCTTACTTGTACGCACACGCATAATTCCGAACTCCAAGGATAGAGTGCTCCAGTGACATATTCAGTTCGGTTTCAAAATGGTGGTTTTTCACTGAGCGATCTAATATATACTGTCGACTAAATATATTCATAATTATTTTGTTATGGTACATTTATAGTCACTTCAATTAGATTTTAGAATTATTATGTTACGTTAAAATTTTGTTTTATGGTGCATTAGTCAGACCTGTTTCATACGTCGAATTTAATTGAGACGAATTTAATTCGTTATTTAATTCGTCCATTGGTCGACATTAAAATGGTTTCGTTTCAAACGACGAATTTAATTCAGACGAATTTAATGAATTAAAAAAAAACAATATGGCGCGTGATGGCGCGCTATTCTGACAAATCAATACAAGGTTTTATGACAGTTATTCTAAATAAAATAAGAAAAGAGAGACAAAGAAGACAAAGAATTCGTCGAGCTGTTCTGATTTTATTTATTGTCAGGTTAAAGTTTCTGATTCTTATACGTTCTATGTTGTCTTTATTATTGGCAAATCTCTGTCGAAGGAAACCTGTGCAACGTTCTTGTCGTCGCCTTTTTAGGAACGAGGGCTGGTGGGATTTGATTTACCTTGGAAGCGACGACAGGTTTAAAAAGACTTTCCGGGTGACCCGTGTAACATTTAACAATATATTATAAAACAGTATTCGCGAAGACATTGTAAAGGATATTGTTGCAGCGGTCCCAATATCACCTGAATGCAGACTAGCAATTTTTTTGTATATATTAGGAAGGGGGGGTTATCTGTACATGATTGCAGAATTATTTGGGATAGGAGTTTCAACTGTACAATGTATTGTTTCTGAAGTCTGTCGTGCAATTGTTAATAACCTATGGAAATCAGCAGTCATGGACACTTTCCCTTCCAACACAGAACAGATAAATGCAAAAATCATTGATATGGAACAGTTGTGGCAATTCCCATGCGCTTGGGGGGCTGTTGATGGTTGCCACTTACCGATAGTTTGCCCAAGCGGTAGTCAGGAAGCAAGAAAAGAATACCATAATTTTAAGAATTTTTACGCCATTGTGATGATGGCAATTGTAGATGCAAAGGATCAGTTTGTATTGGCCAGCATTGGCTTCCCAGGGAATTCCCCTGATTCAGTAATTTTGCAGTCCACACAGTTGTGGACTGATATTACTGAAAACAATATCATACCTTCCATAGGGAAAAACATTGAAAAACTTATTGTGAATCCGTTGATTCTTGGTGATTCTGCTTTTCCGTTTCGCATTTGGCTGATGAAACCATATGGTCATGCTACACTTAGCCCTAAAGAAAGCAATTTTAATGATCGCTTCAGTAGGGCACGAATGGTCACAGAACGGGCATTTGGCCAGCTGAAAAGCAGGTGGAGAATTTTACACCGCAGATCAGAATGTGAGCCAAAAAGTGCGAAGAAAACAGCACTTGCATGTGTTATTCACAATCTTTGCATTGCTAATGGTGATGATCTTCCTCAGCATGTTAATCTTCTTTGTAATTATCCAAAAAATCAAAGAGATCGAGAGAAAGTACGAAAGTTATTGCTAATGAGAAGCTGTGCCAGAACAAAAGATTCCTCTAAAGCCGCTGAGACTATTAGGACTGCACTTGCAGAATAACTTTGGAAAGAGAAGGAAGAGGGAGGAGTAGAGTGAAGCAAATTGAGTACATTTAGGGATTGGTCAATATTTATGGAATGGGGAGAGGGGGAATATTTTCATTCCTTTTAAAATTGAAATCCCTCTCTAAAAGAGCAGAAATTCAATGGTGACCCCCCCCCCCCTTTCATATTAAAACATTTTCTTTTTGACGCCTCCCTATCCCATATTTCATAAACCAATACTCTCAAAGACAAGGTATTTTAACCATACAACACCTGTGATATCACTTTAGTTCTTTACTTTGGCTAATGCCAGATATATTTAATACTTAAGCCAGGTTCCCATTTGGTATAGGCAGTTGTAACCATGTGAAAATAACTGCAGATGTAACAATACATTGTTGATTTATCTCTACATTGCATACAGCTTACAAGATATATCAAGACTATTTCACATAGGTAACCATGATTTAGTCGCAACATTTACAACCAAATGGAAACTAGGCTTAAGCAAATTCCTTCAAATTTAATTGCAACCCCACATTTTTGATACCCCCTTTTTAAAAAAAAATAATATCTCCCCCCCCCCCTATTCGAGTCATATAGACCCTAATTCACCTGCCCCTCCCATAATTAATTGAACAGTCCCTTAGGACAATATGCACATTGAGCATTAACTAAACTACTTTACATTTTGTTACATTATTACATATAATTAGTGCCATGTATTGCACTCAATATGTTAAACCCTTACTTGGCGGCAATTGCAATCGTTACTGAAAATAGTCTTATTGTTGAATATTTCAATAAAGAATTTTGTTGTATGACAGTAGTAATACCCCCTCGTCTGGCGGATTCATAATTAATTAGGTAAAATGAATATTTAATGAGCTTTCATATTCATGACGTCATTATTGCCTTGTTCCTTTACGACCTTCATCCCTAATTATGTATTCATGACGTCACTACTCATTATGTATTCATGACATTATTATGTATTCATTCCGACTGCCGCTCGAAGAAGACGTCATCCCGACTCGTCGCCGAGCGCACACATGATGTCATAATGATATGCAAGGCGAGCCTGAGCAAGAAAGTCATTAAGCTGAGGCGGAAATTTTGTATACCACATGGTAGGACAATGACAAAGGTCATTATAACTCATTAAGGCGGCCAATTTGTGGCGGCAAGTTCTGGCGGCAAGCGTGTGTTTGTATGGAAATTTCAGCATAGCGTCTCTTCATTCGTAAACTGTTTTCAGTGCGAGTAACACCGTTTGTATCTTGTTGGCAAATATTGCAGCCGTTTTAGCGATTTTCTTTCTAGAATTTAGTGAAAAGTTTGAAAGATGTCTCAATCGGTAAGTAATAATGTTTGTTTTTTTATTGTGTTTTTCTCCCTTCAAAATTTACTTGATTTACATGGGTTTGTACTTATGTTTTTATATTTGTAGATCCTTGAAATGATTTGCGAGTGCGAGAACGAAGCTGCTCTTAACATATTTGGGCAAACTTTTGAGTTGACGGATGAAGAAAAGGAAGCGATTTCAAGGCGACGAATTGCCACTTGGACCTGGCAAAATGAAGTTAGCCCTAGCCTTATAGAAAATTGGTCAGCTTCCCAGCGAATACGTTTCGCCAACGAATGGGCTGATGATCATGGCCTATGTGAGGAATCAGACGCTCCAGGCGAGGTGATTGGAAGCCAGACGGGAGAAGGAAAACGTCCGGCAGATGATGATACGATTGAGTCGCCTCCAAAACGACATAGCGCTGAAGAGTATTTCACCGTGAAATCTGTGAAACAAGTGAATATTAGGAAATTCCGCACAACAGGTACCGATTTTAATGTTATTTGATAGTCGCTGATAGCAAAATACACAACCAGTATTTTGAGAGTCCTTATTTGACAAAGAGTTTCTTATAGTTCTATATTTCTAGGTATGTCTTTTTTTGCAGTGATACATTTAGACTGCTCGCAAACGTCGACCCTCACTCAAATCTGTGACATCACATAAAACCCAAGACGGTTTACCGAAACTAGTCATAGACCTTACCGATTATTCTCATTTGCCCAATGGCCCTTTTTTCCGTGCTTAGCGCACATAAAGGTTATGCACCCATTTGCACGAGGTTGTTTGTTGTTGAGCTTAAACTCTGTCATAAGCATATATTCTTAACCCTATTGTACACGAATTGCGAATAAATACCCAACACAGAAACGAGGTCATTGAGTGAAAAGTGAATAATCGGTAAAGTCTATTCTACTGGGCTAACACGTCTTCCTATTAGCTAAGACAATGTATTGCGTTTATAGGCATTGATTACACGGTCCAATTTAATCCCTTGGACGTACATGGCATATCGAATGTCATGCCCACTTTGCACCTTGCTTTCCGTAGTCTATTTGACCGAATGACCAATGGTATGCCCCCCCCCCAAGATAAGGTTCGATTTATCATGAATTCGTCCCAGCTTGATAGACCCATTTCCCTACCTTTCTTACCTCGAGATCGTCTAAACCCCGAACGCTTCCTGGCCGCTGTGGAAAGAGTAGTTCAGTCTAACGATAAGTTCACCCTGGACGATTCCCTTAACGTGAACGTCGTCCACGTTGAAATGCCCCAGGGCGCCGGTAATGGAAAAAAACGTGACGTTGTCAACCTGAAAGCTTACCTGAACAAAAAAGGTTGCATTGTACAAATAAAAAACAACGACAATCTCTGTTGTGCTCGTGCTATCGTCGTAGCAAAAGCAAAGTACGACAACGATCCAGAGTATAAGAATATTGTGGACCACCGTGGAGCGAAGCAAGGTCGCCTGGCCAATGAACTTCATGAATCTTCCGGTGTTCCCCTGGGACCATGTTCTATCCGAGAGATTAAAAAGTTCGAAATGGTCCTCGTTGGATACCAACTCAATATCGTGTCCAAAGAACATTTAAACGCTCTTATTTACTCAGGTCCAGATGCGGAAAAACATCTATACCTTTATTATCATGACACTCACTACGATGTGATCACCAGCATGGCTGCCTTTCTTGCACGGAAACAGTATTGTCACAGATGCAAGAAAGGCTTTGATAAAATCACCGACCATCCGTGCGGAGACCTATGCAAGTTGTGTAACACTCAGAACTGTCCCATCGTTGAGTGGAAACATTGCGGCGACTGCAACCGTTATTTTAAAAGCGAGGAATGTTTCAAACGCCATATCATGTCGGCGCGTCGTTACTAGGGCCAGCGCAAATGATCATCACTGCGGCATGGTCCTAAAATCTGGCATCAATATCGACAAACTCGAAATCACATTAATAATGAAATTAAAAAAACTAAACAAGCTTATTATAAGAATAATCTTGAATCGAGTAAAGGCAACATGAAAAAAACATGGAACCTTATAAATGAACCAAGCTCTAGAAATGTAAGCAAAACTAAAAAGATAACACAATTAGATTTTGAAGAGCGAGAAATAACTGCACCTGAAGAAATAGCTGAAACATTTAACAGCTACTTCTCAAGTATTGGTGAAAAACTTGCTTCCGATATTCCTGCTCCTGTGCGTGATCCAGTATTTTATCTTAAACCAACTGATAAATCTTTCTCTCTCAAAACTCCCTCCGTTAACACAGTTTATCAACTGCTGACTACATTAGATGATAAGAAGTCAGCTGGTTTGGACAATATACCAAACAAATTCCTAAAGATAGCTGCAAGTGTTATTGCACCCTCGTTAACAGGAATATTCACTGCATCTATTAATTCCGGAATATTCCCGTATGAATGGAAGGCAAGCAGAGTAACGCCAGTATTTAAGAGTGGCACAAGAAATAACCCAGGCAACTATCGGCCTATATCAATTATTCCATGTGTTGCTAAAATTTTTGAAAAAATCATTTTCGATCAACTACATGGGTATCTTGATTCAAATAATTTGCTGAACACATGCCAATCTGGATTTCGACCGTTCCACAGTACCCTAACAGCGTTGCTAGAAGCCACAAGCGACTGGTCCATGAATACTGACAATGGCCTAATTAACGGAGTTGTACTTATTGATTTAAAGAAAGCTTTTGATACGATCGATCATCAAATTATCCTACAAAAGCTTAAAAATTATGGTATTGACGAAAACAGTCTTACTTGGTTTCATTCATACCTCACTGATAGAACTCAAAAGTGCCGGGTAAACGGTCAACTGTCAGATTCTGTGCCAGTGGCCTGCGGTGTACCTCAAGGTAGCAGCCTAGGGCCATTGCTATTCCTCATCTACATTAATGATTTACCGAACTGTCTTGATCATACAACTGCAAGAATGTTCGCAGATGATATAAGTATTAGTTATGCATCCGACTCTGCCAAAGAGCTCCAAAATGTCATTAACACCGAATTGAAAGGTCTAAGCGATTGGCTAACCACTAATAAACTAAGCTTAAATATTGTAAAAACAGAATTCATGGTAGTTGGATCTAGACAGAGAATAAAAACACTAAATAATGAAATAGATATTGAGATAAACGGTAATATGGTCAACCAAGTTACTTCGGTAAAATCTCTGGGTGTCCATCTTGATAATCACCTTATGTGGTCTGAGCATACTGACAAACTATGTAAAAAAATTGCTTCAGCCATAGGGGCTTTAAAACGTATAAGATCCTGCATTTCAACGAACACGGCTATCCAAGTATACCAAGCACTGATTCAACCTCATTTTGACTACTGCTGCTTGGTCTGGGATGGTCTTGGCGAAACGCTAAGTTCTAAACTACAAAAATTACAGAACCGGGCGGTCAGGGTCATTACGAGGTCCAGCTATGACACTAATGCTACTGTGCTTCTTCATACTTTACACTTGGATAACTTATCGTTGAGACGCAAAAAACTTAAAGCTGGCTTGATGTTCAAAACACTCAAAGGTGACACACCTACCTATCTACAAAATCTTTTTTCAGTTCGTGGCTCAGAATATAATCTTAGGAACTTTGAAATGAAATGAAATCTACCCAAGCCACGAACTAATTATCTGAAGCGAAGCTTTCAGTACAGTGGAG